AGGATTTCAAGGCTGGAGATCAAGTGCTTCTGTTCAACTCTCGCCTTCGACTCTTTCCTGAAAAACTCAAGTCCAGGTGGTCTGGTCCATACACAATCAGCACAGTCCATCCATACGGCACGGTGGAAGTTTTCGGTGAGGACAATTCAACCTTCAAGGTAAACGGGCATCGACTGAAACCATACCTAACAGTGGAGCAGCCTTCCAACCTTGAGGTTATCCACCTCTCTGCCCCAAATTAAGCTCCACATCGTCCAGCTATCACGACGCTAAAGAAGCGCTCATTGGGAGGCAACCCAATACTCGGTTTGCATTTTCTTAAACTTATTTACTGTGATTTCTTCATATTCGATTTTTTCTTTTTTGCTTTGAATTTTGTTTAAAAAAATGTGTTTGTGTGTTCCCTCACTTGTTTTTCATGTCCATTGAGGACAATGTCCAATTTAAGTGTGGGGGTGTATTGTGTGACGTGAACTTCAAAATTGTATTTACCTGTGTTCTATGAAAAAGAATTGTGATTTAAAAAAAAACTAAAAAAAAGAAAAGTTTTCTTTTTGTGTTTTTAATAGTGGGTATCTTTGGTTTTGATTTGAATTTCGTGATAATTACTATTGATACATGAATATTGTAGTATGGACATAAAGCAACCTATTATGATGACTGAGGGGTTAAAATGAATGTGTCTCGTGTCACTCTTCCTTAGATGGCAAAAAAATTGTATGAAATCTTGAATTGGTCGATTTTCATCTTTGATTGTCTTTTCATAGTCATTGGAAAGCGTAGCATGAGAAACCGAGAATTTAGGAAACGAAGTGAGATTTGAGCTTGATCGTTTCTTTCTTGTGTGTTTAGATCCCTCTCTGCACGATAAATATGCTTGATAATTGCAAAATTTTGAGTTATGAAACCACTAATGATGATGATGGAGGCATAGGTTTACCCCACTACCCAAATAACTACCCGAAATTGCATATCCCCTAGCCAAACCCCGTTGAGACGAGCCTATTTGTTCGGTGACAACCTGTTTTAAACTAATCCTTGTTCTTCAAGCCGTATTAATTTGAACCCTTCTTTTCAAGGTTCCATCAGAATGGTTTAAACAAATGACTTTCTGCTGATTACATAAAAAAAATGACTTTGGAAATTGGGAGAAATTGTTTCTAAAAGTGCTATTCTTGAAAATAAATGTTGGCCACTCTAAGAAAAATGAAACATACACATATGCACGATAATAATAAATAAAAAAAGAGTTGGCCATCAATTTCGTGCACTTACAAAAAGGAGTTGTTCTTCAAAAGCCAAATTCGGCTACTTTCAAACTCCAAAATATCTCAAAATGCTTTCTCCATTCCAATCATCCTAATAGAAAAGCAGCAAGGTCATGGTTCTGGTATGAAAATTGTGGAACCTTGAACTTACCACCAGATAAATGAACTTTCACATGTCCATGCCCCCATCCACAATGTTACTCATTCTAAAGACCTCCGGACAAGTCAGTGGTAACACAAATTTGAATACTCGAATGACATGTTCATGGCAGAGAGATGGTAGGGAGAGTGTATTTAAAATGTATGTAAAAGTATCTATACTTTTGCATACATTTATAACCGTCTGTGGTGGTTGCCAACATCCATATTATAATATTTTGTGTGTCGGTTTTGATTGTTACTTGTGATTCACCTGATTTCCCACCATGTGTGTTCATGATTTCTGAATAACATGAAATAGGTTTTACAATTAAACTCGGGATTTATGTGCTTTACTTGAGGACAAGCAAAGACTCAAGTGTGGGGGAATTTGATACACCTAGAAATATACATATTTATTCCCACATTTAAGTATCCAATTGGCTTGTAACACAAAATAAGTTCAGTTGTTTTCCAGTTTTACGCTTGGTTTTGTGTGTTTTGATTTTTCAGGATATTCAGAGACATGTAGGAAATAAAAGGGTAAACTCATCTCAAATCATGATTGAAAAGGAGAAATGACGAACCAACATTAGAGATGGGATTGTGAGTTCGAGATGAGTAGTCAAAATTGACAAATTTGCACCCCATGCAACCAAGCTCAATGCTTGTACATTCCACCACGAACCTACGTATGCATGGAATCGAAATTGGATCACGTCAAATGGAAGAGTACAAGCTTGCAGCTCAAGCAGGCTGGTCCAATTGAAGAAGTTAATAGCTTAATTAAATGCGTCTTCCAAGCAAGCAGCTCAGCAAGTGAAAGTCAAACCAAGCAGCTCAAGTTAGCAGCTGGTACAAATGACTCACGTCACCCAGGCAAAGAGGTTAAGCACGTAGCTGAGGTGGAACTATGTCGCAAGTGTAAATGGAAGAAGCAGGCTGGTCCAAATAAAAAAAAAGCTAGAACATCAATTAATTGGAAGCAAGTTGCTTGATCCAAATGTACAAGCTTGCTTCCATGAACGGCCAAATTAGATGGGAGCAAGCAAGCAACTCAATCATTCGGGAGTAATGAAGGAGAAGCAAGTAGCTCAAATTAAATGGACATTGCCGGGCAAAGAAATGGAAGGTAGTTGGTGAAATAGAAGGCCACGTCTTCTCCGCAAGCAGTTGTTAGATGCGGCAATTGAAAGCAAGCAGTTGTTAGCACAAATGTGGGCTCTTGTTCATTTATTAGGACCAGCTAGCTTGCTCTATAAATAGCATCGTATCGAGGCAAATTTGGGAGACGGATTTTCACGATAGAATCCTTTCTCTTCTTGTTGTTTCCATTCCATTTCTTCTTTGTCAAAACTCTGCCAAATCTTTGCTGTAATATTTGTGTTTTAATCCAAAATCATATGCTTTATACGATAACGGCTCCAATTCTTGAGATTAGCAGTAATATGTTACATTCGTAAATTACCATAAGAAGTTTATTTAACTTCTAGGTGATTTATTGGTATAACGTACTTACTCTATTCTCGTTTCTTCCACTTGGTCAACAATAAGGTTTTGGTAACTTTTATACTCTTATGTGTTTAATTTTCACGCTGTTACTATCGTGGGTTAAATGGGGATGGACTACCTCCCTACTCCCATATCTACCTTTTAAGTGGGGATTTGGTTTATACGATTAGCTAGCTCACTTGAGTTAGTTAAGTCCTTCCGTATCCCCATATTTATATTTTCGGAGTGGGGTTTGATTTATACGATTAGCTAGCTCACTTGAGGTAGCTAAGTCCTTCCGGCCTTTCGTCCAATTTATACTATACTTATATTTATTTTTGGAGTGGGGTTAGGTTTATACGATTGGTTACCGCACTTGAGATAACTATATCTTTCCGCCCTTCGTCCGTTTTAATGAAGAACTAAAAAACAAGTTGTTTGGAATGGTGGAACCCTCAATGAAATTAAAGATCTCAACTCTTTTAAAACGATTTAACTAACGGATTTATGACAAATTAACATCTCTTGTGTTTGTTTATCTTGTTCCCGGATGAGAGGAGAGAACCTCCATTTAGGAAATTGTTGGAAGACAGAGTCGTCTAGAAACAGCACTCCGACTCTTTGATCTCCAAACACAAGTACCATTCAGGTAAAATTCATGAGAAATCAGGATTGATTTGTGTGGTCCATCTTGAATGTAATTTGGGTCTTCATCTATCCACTTTCAATCATTTAATATGACTTGAAAACCGAGATTAGTAATTGGAAGCTGAACGAATTCATTGGTATGAAATTGCATGAATTAAATTTTGGAAATTACGATGGGATGAAATTCGTATTAAAACTTGTTAATTAAATTGAGTTTATTCGGGATGAAACATCGAGGGGGAAACTAATCCAAACAACTTTTCCAAACCATTGTCTAATCAAATCAATCAGTTCATTATATATTAGATCACTAATACTTGAGTAAGGCAACAGAAAAGACTCTAGGGAAATACGACTTCAGTAAGTTTCACTTTCTGGATTATCTTTGCATGCGCTTTTAACGACATCATAGACTCATAAAATATAAAACTTGATATTGTTCCTATAATGTATATTTGTATATGTAGAGTGTACACCACAACATATGAACGCCTAATTTAGATAACTCACATACATTATGTTGGATGAAAACTTGAAAGCAAGGTCTTTTTCAGCCTATGAAAATTGCTAAAAGACTAAGTCAATTCAAACAAACACAACAATTCATTAACCATACCATTGTGATAAATTTTTGTTAGGTGAATACTTCTATACTAACCGTAAGATAATTGTCTTAGTTGCATGTATTTATGTTAAGGGTCAACTGTAAATATGTGTTGATTGTTATGTTTTATTCATTATATAAATTGTGAATTGATAAATTAACCGAATTTTTTCTCACTTAATGATAATATGATTTTATATTTGTTAATCTGGTTAACCAATTAACCAAACCGATTAAACTTTTGTTTGGTTAATTTGGTTTTTGTATTAGTTTGGATAGTTTGGTTATGATATTGTATTCCATGGTTAATGAAATTTAGCCTTATTTGGTTTGGTAATAACCATGGTAACCATTTGAACACCCCTAATTTTCAGCACATCATTCATAGAATTATAAGTATAATATGTTCATTAACTATGCATTTCTATTAAAAATGCTTTTTAATATTATTTACATCAAACATGTCTATAATATTTTGGAAAAATGAAACATGTACTTCTATTAAATTCTGTATCCAAAATCGTCAATCATGGCGAAACCTTGGTTTGGGCAATACAAATCCCTAGTATAGCTCAATAGAGAAAGGCTAGCATGCTAACACTTTTTTTTGTTAGTATGGTGCTAGGGGTGGCAATACGGTCCGGTCCGGTTAAATTGGCCCGAATTGATCCGGTCCAATCCGGTCTTTTTGGAAATATGAGGACCACAACTTGGATTGGGTACAGTCCGGTTTTGACCCGGTCCGGTTTTGACCCAGTCCGGTCCCAATCCGGTTTTGACCTGTTTTGACCCGTTTTGACCATGTTGCAAAAAATTCAGCAGCATATACCCATTTCCTGGAATGTAAACAACCTGTTTGTAGCAAAAATCAAGCCAAATATGGTCCAATACAAAATCACAAGATTCACAACCATCATTGATGTCTATTACAAACTCAAAGTCCAATTCAAACTTCAAAATAAAAATAAAGTGCATCACAAGTTCACAAACAAAGTTTAGACATCAAACACCAAATTCACTCCAATCTAACAAATTCACCAAACCATTTCTACTCATCAGGTTCAAGAGAAATAATGAAGCGTTAGATCCACCTCCTTGATTTGTTCCACTCCTCGAGCCAAACACATCACTCCCTCCGACATTGCTCGTACTTGTACCTTCGTGTTCATTCACATGCTCACACCTTTCCGCCTCATCCACCATAATAGCATTGTAAACTAAATGACATGGATAAAAAAAATATAATTGTTAGCAATAGCATTTATATGGCCAAAACTAAAAACTACAAAGTAATTTACTTACCATTCACGAAGTCTTCTTGATCCTCATAGTCATCATCTTCACCATCAAGATGCTCCACAAACTCACTAGAACTTGATCTAAGCCAATCTTGACTGCATATGAGAGCTTCCACAATCTTAGGATGCAAAGAGCTCCTAAATTCATCTAAAACACGCCCACTTGTGTTAAAAACGGACTCGGAAGGAACAGTTGACATAGGAATAGCAAACAGATCCTTTGCCATCTCACTCAAGATGGGATACCTCATAGCATTAGTCTTCCACCACTTCAACACATCAAACTCTTCTTCAGCATCATCATATTCTCGAGGGTGAACAAGATACTTCTCCAACTCACTCTTAGTATGACCAGCTTGAGGTTTTCCATAATCATCATCAGGATCATAATCATCATAAGATTCATCAGAATCACTACCTGACCTCGGTGAACTTGAAGTGGCAACTTGTACTCGACGTTTTGAAGGAGAAGAAGGAGCAGGGGGAGGCATCTTACTCTGATAATATTCAAACAACTTCTCAAGTTCATCATTCAACTCTTTCACCAAAACTATCGGTAGTTATGGACACCCTTCCTCCACTCTTGATCTTGAAGTAATCTCTCAACTTGCCCTTCTGTTCAAGAAACAATCTAAAACAATCTTCTCTAATACTTCTTCTGCTTGGAATCTTAAACATCGGACAAGCACGTGCCATGAAGCGCTTAAATCCTTCTTTCTCCACACTCCTAAACGGCATTTCATCCAGAATTATCATTTCAACTAACCCAGCTCTGATAAATTCTTGATCAAATTTCCAAGTCCCCAAAACTCCTTGCCCTTCAACAGAAGTTGGATTGAGTTCTAGATTCAACTGCTTCCCCTTTTCTTTTTGTTTCTTTAAGCACCTTTGAGTATGCCTACCCAAAGAACTTGTACCATTTCCCGAGGGATCCCCAGCCAGTGACTTTCCACAGTAATGACACCTTGCCTTCTTCTTGCCTTTAGCATCTTTGTAACAATCATAATGCTGCCATACAGGTGACCTTAACACATACTCCCTATTGGTCTTCTCCATTTCAGGTGTTGTTGTGGTGTTGGTAGCTGCTGGCCGTTCTTGTTCTTGAGTGGCAGCGGCTTGAACATTAACATTTCCACTATTATTCCCACTTTCAACAGCTGCCTTTGAAGCTTGTGGTTGTGGTCGCTTCTTACTAGGAAGAGGAGGCAAATCTCCACTTTCTCTTGATGCCGGAACTCGCTTCTTACTACCCTGCACAACACAATTCAATCAATATAAGAAAATGCACTTTACTTCCTTCTCCATTACAGAACAAACACTACATTCATCATAAAAATCTTACATCACAGCAAAACAATCAATATCGTGATGGTTGTATGTTGTATGCTAAAAGTTTATATGAAGAAGGAAGAGATATTTGTATCCTGTAGCTTCCCTAAACTTCTCACGAATTACCTAATTTTGTCGGTCAAATGTTAGAAATAGGTGCATTGGGTGTAGGTTCTGCACTCTGAGAATCTCTAGAAGGTAGAAGCCTTTTTCTGTTCTAATTAGAAATAGGTAGAAGCCTTTCTCACGAATTACATTATCATTTCCCTCTTAATTACATTCTCTAATTATAAAACAAACTTCAATTATATTTTATTCACATTTCTAAAACCTTACATACATAATTTACTAGTATGCTTGGCTATAATCTCCAACTATCCAATCATCTGACTCGGCACATATAATTGGTATGATAATGAAGGCTGATAATGATTAAGTTCATATTCACTTAATTTCCAATTAATAAAGACAGTAATACATGGCCTAATTTCTTTAATAACCACTACAATTCGTCAATTCCCCTTGCTAATTGCTAAAAAACAGCAAACAACAACAACAAACAGCATATTGATCATCACCTAGCCCATGAGATTGTTAAATCAACAATAACTTACCCAGCTGCTGCTTCCTTCCATATTTCTGACTTTTGCAGCTGTTGCCGGTTGTGCTTGTAGACGAACGGACGACGACGAGATGTAGGGTCGTCTTTTGGAGCTTTCTGGGTCGTCTTTTGGAACGGAGGGCGACGGCCGACGAGATGCTGGCTGGCTGGTCGCGCGGCGTCGTGGAGCTGATCGGAGGTGGTCGCGACGGGAGGGAGTTGAGGGCGGAGGCTTCCTGGGTCGCGACGGGACGGAGTGGAGGCTTGTAGGCTGTAGCTGGGTCGCGACGTCACGTCGCAGAGAGGAGGGAGGCGACCAGCAACGGGAGGAGGTCGTCGTCGCCGTCGCGATGGTCCGAGACTCCATCGACGGCGATGCCTGCGAATCGCGATGGAAGGCAGAATCGTGATGGGGAATTGGGGATGCCGCGAATCGCGATGGAGAGGGAGGCGGCAAAACAGAAATGGAAGATTGAGGTTTCCCAGCAACCCTACAGGCTACAGGAACAGAAGCTCGCCTGGGCCGGGTGAGTGGGCCGAGAGGCCTTAGGTTGGCCTGTCCCTGGGCTGGGCTTATTCTGGGCCTCTAAAGCTGTTTTGTAATTATCCGGTCTTCCGGTTTTTACACGGTTTTGACCCGGACTGGATTGGTCCGGGTTTTTTGCTAATTCTAAGACCAAAGATGGGATTGGATTGTTTTAAATCCGGTCCCGGTCTTAAAACGGTCCGGGTTTTACGATCCGGTCCCGGTCCAAACTGCCAGCCCTATATGGTGCTAAAACTAGCTCCATACAATAGGAATATTTCGTTTAGATAACTTTTCCTTTAAGATGAGTTGATCACAATTAATGAACGGAAAAGGAAGGAGGGGCACATTGGTTATTAATAAAAATTGGGGGAAGGTGAAAGGGTACCTGCAGTTCTTTTTGCATTAAATGTGAGAAAGGAATGGGGACTACTAAAGTAGGCCAGAACCTTAAAGTAGGCCAGAACCTCCACAAAGTAGGCCAGAACCTCAAAGTAGTCCAAATCTCAAATTATGCCAAAAGTTTATTAGCGTGGACCTGTTTGTAAATTTTAAAAATGTAGGTATCAAAATATAAGAAATAAAAATTTCAGGTACTAAAATGTAATTTTCATCGATGAGAAAGTTGTCCAGCTGAATTTTACCTCCCCTTAGCTTCTCTCTAACAGTGCTTTAGAAATGCTCTCTCTTGAATAGTACTTCCAACCTGAAAGGAATTGCACAATCAGTTAACAACTTTGTTTAAATTAGGAGGTAGGAGTAGGGTGCAAAACTACTTTATTGAACGGAGTTCCACTACGATTCACATCCATATTTGACTCCAAGAAAATGTCGTTGCTTCTCCGACGTTTTCCTTGTTCTTGGACCATCACCAGACAGAATAAACTCAACATCCAATAGAATAATAATCATATAAGGAATCAACACACCTAAAGCTTGATAACACAACCATAGTACGTACTAAGGAAATCACAGAGTAGGTGCAAGATCTAGGAGTAGACCAATCGGAAAGGGGGGTTGGGATTTTAGAAGGATGAGGGGCGGCTCGGAGGAGTTGGCCAGTCATAAGGGGGAAACTGGCGTCTGATTGGGAAACCTCAGTTTCGATTTTGGTAAGCCCTTTCCTATATTGATTCACTGAGGATTGGGAGCTCGCCAAGTTGTTGTTTGACCTTCGAGATCCTAAATTTCTGCTTCATCTATTGATTCACTGAGAAGAAGTGGGAGGCGAAGAGATGGTCGTCGAGACCACCGCATCTCAACCAACCTCTGCTTCATCGTGTTTTTCTCTCCTACGGCAATTTTTTATTTTACATCTAAAGAATATATAATAGTGGAGTTTTATAAGATTTTCAGCATTCAAATTTTCCTGCTCTCCCCTTAAATTTCGGTAGGGGTATATTAGGAAAAATGATGGTTTTTTAAAACTGTCTTCGTGCGGGCATTAAGCTGGAACTTTGGGCTTACTAATCCTGCCAAAATTCAGCCCGCGTATTGTCCGGACTCTTTTTGCCGATGCTGTAACGGTTTTTTTTATTAGTATTTCCCAGTTCATCTTTTATTCTCGGTTACAAGTTACAACACATTCTTTTTTAAGCATTTTTTGTGGGCTTTTTTCGTTTGTTTTAAGCCATTCTATTCTCAGTTGGTATTTATAAATTTTATGTGTTTTCATTCATTCAATAATCAATATCACTACAAGCTACATACATATTCAAATAAAATACGCCATTATAAATAAAATAAAAAATCTCATATTTAAATACGTCAACATCCATACGTTTATTCTTAAATTCAAAAAATAACATCCACATTCATATTAAATACAATTCATCATCACAAACAAAATGATAAATCCTCATATTAAAATAAACAAAAATTAAATAAATTCACCAAAACAACATCATTTTGTTTAGGAGCCGAAAATTGTCATCCGATCCGACCACATGTTTTTACCGAGATTGACTACCACTTCATAATAGGATAAAAATTGGTTTTGGGTTATGAACTTGGTTTTACTTGCAATTATTGTTTTCATTCTCTGATTTTGAAATTGGTTTTGGTTGCGACCTTAATTTCTTTTACTTGAGCTATTGTTTTCGGTCTTTGAATATTTGCTCATCAAGCAGTTGTAAAATAGTTTCAAATTGAGATATCTTCATGTTTGATTAGTGGTTAACCGAATATAAGTTGTCAATGATCCGTTTAGAACTCAGCACTAGGATATTATCCAATCTTCTACTATACATGGTTGGAAGATATCATAATACTTATGGATACTATTTTTTTTTTTGTCGGAAAAAGGGACGCTTAAAGGGCGCCCCAACTTTTATGCATTAAAAATACTTATTGATACTATTGATTAGTAATCTATATTTGAGGAAATTATGATATTATAAAACTTAAAATATCCGGCCAACCGGCCGGGTCCAAGCTAGTGGAAAGAGAGATAATGAGAGAGGAACGAAGAATGAGTTCAGAAATTTTTATGTGGTGTAATACGTGGAAAGGGAGATAGCGAGGGAGTAGAGGGGATCAGGTGCGATAATTTTTATGTTAACCCATGCATCTCTCTTGGCCAGCCCAAAGTGTCGCACTCGAGCTTTACTAAATTTTCCTATAGGGACTGCAAAAACACGATATGCTCACGTGAATTTGACCGCATGCAGTCACCAAACCCTCTTCGTGAACAGTAAACGTGATTATTCATAATGAACAACAATTTTTTATATTTGGTAATTTTTGACGGTTTGTGGCTTTAGTAAAATGATAATATGTATTCATATGGTGGTTGACATCGCAAAAAGTTAAACCTTTTGTGATGTGAACACATTTATCATAAAGACAACCTTTCATGATGTTTTTGAGAGAAAACTCTTGTGTTTGAGTTTAATGATTTGCACATTTGACTTCTTGAATAACGACAATAACACGGTTATCACACCTCTCCGAGCAATGTTCAAACGAGGGTGTTTGATATTTTTTATGGCTAACAAAGAGAAGATATGTTACTCCAATCTCTATGATGGTTCAGTGAGAGCTCCAGAAACTAACAGCTAAGATTATGGCTACATTGCACAGAATGGATAAAGTTTGACATGTGGTGTCAAATGTTTGGCTGTGGACCCTTTTCCATTCTTTATTTCTCCTATTAATAGCCATAAGACGTAACTGCCTTGTAATTGCCTCTGTGTAACTACAGATCCACTATTTGGTGCTTGATGTAGCGTGTTTGACCCATTGACCGCCTTATTTGCATGCATACCACTTGATACCTCGATAGCTGGATGACTTCACTTGGTAGGTAGCCTCCTCATGACATGGAGGTGTCTTGCATGGTGGCTTGTCTTGTCATTTGATGCCTTAATAATACTCATGTTAACCACCCTTGCATGACATCATGCTTAAAACTAGGAGCTTGGGGGTTGATGGATGCACACTGACACCCTTGGGGTGGCATCATGCTTGTAGGGTTTTGACAAGGTGGTCTATCATGTGATGATATACATGGCTAACACGTAGAAACTTAAGGACCTTGTATACTAGGTACCCTGCAAGATTACTTATGATTTCTAGCATGCCTGACTACTTGGAATGAGGGTGTGTTGTGCCTACCCCATAGGCATGACGACATGCTTGGCACCCTGGTGCTTGGTATGTGGGTGGTGAAGTGCTTGTTTGCTGGATAGGTGGCATGCTTGATAGGCCGGTACTTATGGTCTCAACACTTAGTCGAATTCTACCTTAACTTCACTAAGCCTCCTTGCATGACATCATGCTTGACACCTTAACGTTGGATATGCGGGAGGTCAACATACTTGCATACTTTACAAGTGGGTATGCGACATGCTTGATGGGTGAGTGGCGAGGTCTCGATACTTAGCCAAATTTCATCCACAGGGTCTCTACCTCTCTTGGATGATGTCATGTTTGACATCCTAGTGCCTGGTAGGTGAGTGGTGAGGTCTCAACACTTAGTCAAATTCTTGCCTTCTTCCCCATCATGTCTAGGAGTACTCGTGACAGCCTTCCTTGTACGACATCATGCTTGATAGTTGGGTGCTTGGTGGTTCGAAGGATTTGTTCTGAGGTGCCTAGCATCACCTTATGGGTAGTCCAAAAGACCACCACTTAGATCCAAACTAAATCAATTTAACTAATATGATTAAGTTGGCCTTATAAACCAGAACCACTACTTGAAATTAATCAATGTATCATTAATTTAAATTTTGTGATAAACAAATACCGCCAACTATTTAGTGTATAATAATTATGGACTAGTTAGTTTACACCAATAATATCACTTAACCTGACACCTCGTCCACATCAGGTTCAAACCTCTCAAACCCCCATGCGGCCAACATTGGCTTTATCAAAGCCAATTGAAGACAACAAACCAATTAAAAGAGTATGGTTAACTCTTTCATTTGGAACTGCCTCTCCTCTGTTTATGTTGTAACTTGTAAGAAATGCATGGCCATGTAACTACTTTGGCCTAGTGACCAGTCAACCCCCTACATAACACACACCAACTGTACACACAGCCAAATTCATTCTTTTTTTAATCTCAAAGCCATAATAGCGCAGGAAAACTCTTCGAGCCATGTTTTTCTCCTTCGCCATCCCAGTACTCCAACTCGAACTCAGCACTTAAAACTGATCTCTTTTCCTTGTTAGAGATCGATTAGCCATGCATGATGAGCCTAGGATAAGGATACTTCAATTCTCCAACTTTGTCTACTCACACCAAACCACAAAGACCTTGTGATTACTAGTCATGGTAATATCCTCACATGGCAAGTCTAACAAAAGGTTTGCAACTTTAACATATTTTTTAGCCACGAATGACTTATGATTTTCTTTTTAATAATATTTTTAATTATTTAACTATTTTAATTTAGTAAGAAGTGACAGAAGTCACTGATTTCTTCATCCTTTGGCAACCATTAACGTGCTCAGTGGCGTAGACAGGAATTCGTTTAAGGTGGGTCCATCTAGAAATAAATACATATGATAAAATAGTTTTATCATATATAATCTTAAATTGAAATTTTTTAGTAAATTAAAATACAATAGTAGTAAAAAATATCAAGAATATCA